ACTTACCCCACAGCAGAGCGGCGAGTCAGCCTGGCCCCGCTCGCCACACTGTTAAGGGCATTCAGAGTGGCCCCGCTCCTGAGGTGGGGCTTCAAGGGGTCTCCTCTGAAGGCCCTGGGTGCCCTGTTGCCCTGGTGTAAGGGCAGGACAGGACACAGTGCAGGTTTTCTGATCCAGCAGACCGGGTAAAGGAGGAATCAGAGTCCTTAGTGGGTTTTTGCAGGTCTTTTATTGGGGTTCACCAGGCATATGGCAGGCAGGGGTGCAGTCCTCCCAGCCCCCAGCAAATCCTCACTCTATCTGGGCTCTCTGGCGTTCTCTGCTTCTGCTTCTGCTTCTCTGCTTCTCTCTCGGCTTCTCTTTCGGCTTCTGCTGCTGCTGGCGTCCCCGTGACGCCGCCCTTAAAAAGCACAGTCTCAGCCCAGGTGAATCCCATCTACCTATGCCCACACCCTGCTCCAGGTGCCCGCCATCAGATATGCATTCAGGACAAGGATCCATCATCTATCCTGATGGCGGGAGGGCAGAAAAGCCTGACATTTTTCCTTACCCTGCACCTGGGGTCCGCGGGTCTCAGCCTCACGGGTCTTGTGGGGCACCCTTCTGGCCGTGGTCCTGGGACCCGCCCCTCATATCTCCTGCTCTGCCTCCGCTCCGGGGCCTGGCCTCCCTGGCCGCTGCCAGCCTCCTTGGAGCTCCTCCTCCCCGCACGGTGGTCCAGAGGGCGGATCTGAGGCCCCTGGCCCCTTCCCCAGGGTCGCCACGCGTGGCCTGCATCAGTTGCCTCATTTTTAGTTGCTTCGAGCAGGGCCAGGCCTGGCGGCTGTCAGAGCCCGGACTGCCAGTTCTCATGGTCAAAGCAGGGGGCGGGGCGGGGGCAGACCAGCCTCCAAGACCAGCACCCTTGGCCCAGAGGCCGAGAGGGAGTTGACTCTCAGATCAGAAACCTGCTCAGTAACCAGGTCAGCTCATGTTGATCAAGGACTTGTACCCCCAGCTCAGAGCCTTCACCCCCACTTCCCAGATGCTGGGGAGGACGTTCCCTATCCTACTAGGTCGGCCTGGGGAGGGGCTGAGGGCCAGGCACCCCAGGCTCCGTAGGGGCCTCTCCTGAGCCGGGGGCAGCTGGGATTTGGGAAACTGTCAGGAAGAGGAAGAAGGGAGTGGGTTCCTGAAGGGGGCCAGGCAGGGGTGGGGCAGGAAAGGGACCCCATGGGTGTTTTCCTTGCTCCCCTACATCCGACCCTGCAGGTGGGACTTATTACTTTTGTTGAGTGCTAAACTTGAGGCCCACCATCCAAGTTCTCAGCCAGTGGGCTCTGTCTGCCCTGATCCCAAGGGCCATGGACTGGGGATCTGGTCCCAAGGCCCCAGCACATGCCAGTTCACTCACCTGGCGCAGGTGTGGCCTGCCCCACTCTCTACCCCAGGCTTGGCCTCCTTCCAAGAGGAAGTGGGGGGAGGGCTCACCCTGGGAGGCCTCTGATCATCTGGGCTCCCAGGTGTGCCCCAGAGGGTGGGCTGGCCCCTGTCCTGGGAGCTGGAGGGTGGGCTGCTCCCAGTCAGCAGTGCTGCACAGCAGGTGCGCCCCAGTGTCACCCCAGGTGTGCAAAGGCTGCGGACTTTGCATGTGATTTCCCTGGTGCCTCGCCCTGGCCGCCAGGAGGCCAGTTCTTCCCTCACCTGCTCACAGCACTCCTGGGTGCCCAGCCCCCGGGCCCAGCCTGCTGGAAGCCCCTACCCTCTGGTGTGTCCCTACCCACTCTGACCCCTTTTGGGGACAGGAGCAAGTGGGGATGAAGCCAGGCCCTGGCAACTCCCTGCCCTGAGTCGGGGCCTCATGCAGAGCCCACAGGCAGCCCTGCCCCCAGCCTGGGCCTTCTCCCCATCCCGGGCCGGCCTCCACCGTGGCGGGGCTGGCAGAATTGGGGTCCTGGGGGACAGGGCTGGCCCTCAGAGGGACGGGCAGGAGAACGGAGCACTGGGGTTAGCGGGGTCACCCCAAGGTCTCCTGGCCCAGCCTCAGCTGCTATTTCTGGAGCTTCAAACATGTGTGTTGCCAGACAGCTCCGGCTGATGCCTGGGGTGGGCAGGGCTGCTCCTTCTGGAGGCCTTTGCCAGCCTCCAAGGGTCACCTGCTCTCCCGTCCTCACACCAGCCTGGCTGGTGGGGTCCCCGTGCCCACCCCTCCCACCTGCTCTTCCTCTGTGGGCCACACTGGGCTGCTGGATGATCAAGGTGCCCTTCGAGTGTGGTCATCTGACCTGGGCCTGACGCCAGGTGCTGCCTCAGTCTCTGTCCATCATCTGACCCCTTTGCAGGTCATGGGATCAGGGCGTGGATATTTGGGGGGCTGTGATTCTGCCCCCACAGTCTTTCTCTCCAGCCTGTGAGCTGCATCCCTGCCCCCACGCTTTGCACCCACAGCCCCGGGCTCGAGCCTGTCCTCCCGCCAGGAGTTAGCAGCCGGGTGCCTCAGCAAGGCAGGCAGGGCCCAGGCAGCCCCACGAGGTCATGCCGGAGCCCTTGGCCTGCCCCTTGGTGTCCCCACCACCGAGCTGGACTGGGGGCTCGTGCGCACCCCTGGAGACTCCCTCCTCGGGCATGGCTACCTCCGGGCAGAGGCGGGTCTGCGTGCTTGCCCTGGCCAGCCAGCCGTGGGCACCTGTGCCTTATCTGTCCACCCCTAGTGACCTCCTTCTGGTTCAGAGTCAGAGCCTGGGGGCTGAGCCCATTCGCCCAGAATTGGGATTTAAAGAAATTATTTTTATTCATTTGAGGGTGTTTTTAGGGGGCACACTCCTGGGTCTGCTGGTGAGTCTACCATGAACTTCTTGAGGAACCACTGAATTGTTTCCCACAGCGGCCGCGCGTCCTGTCGAGTCAGTCTGGAATGTGCCCCTCGTGCTGATGTGGGGTCTCTTCCGGGCTGATGGGAGGAGTGTCTGTTCAAATCCTTGCAGGTTTTTAAACTGAGTTGTCTTTTTGTGGTTGAGTCAGAGGAAAACTTTCTATTTTCGGGAGGGTGACCCCTTGTCCGGAGCCGGGGTCTGAAGCCGCCCTGCATTCTCTCTGGTCCCCAGGGACGCCGTGGCCCGTAGCCCCTGTTGAGTGAGGCTGGGGTTCCCGAGCCCACAGGGCACCTCCCCTCCATCCCAGGCAGGTCCCTTTGCCCACCACGTCCTTCCCTGCACCCCCTCTGTGGCAGAGCATGGCTGGGCGGAAAATTCTTCAGGCTGAGTCATGGCTGGGCTCCGGCCTGCCCGGTGCAGGGCGGGCTGACCGCGGTGCCTGTGCAGGGTGCTGATGGCTTGTTCCTGGCCCATTCCAGTCGGAACCGGCCTCTGCGGCTGGCCTGGAGACCCTCTTCACGGGCAGGCCTAGGAGGTGGAGCCCAAGGGTGACCGGCTGCTCACTGGGCACAAGGGGTGGACACTGAAGGCCAAATCCCAGCCCTCACTGACCTCAGTTTCTCCACCTGCACCCTGGCCAGGCTCTGCCTTTGAGGTTCTTTCTGCTCTTGACTGGGAGCCGGGGCCGGGAAGTGCTGGGGCATCTGCACCCTGAGCACAGATGACGCCAGGGGGCCTGGCTCCTGCCTCTGGGCGCAGCTACCCTCTGCCGGACCCTGCCACCCAGCAGCCCAGGGCACCCCCCTCCCCGCTCCCCCCCCCCGTTTGGCCCAGTCCCATTGCTTTTTCCTTTTCTGTAAAACAAAATCCAGCACAAAAAGTACTAAAAGTACAAAAGATACGATAATAAACACCTCCCACCCAAAATAAATGCATTCAACATTTGATCCTATTTCCTTCGCCCTTGACTGTTTTAAGAACTGAAGCAGTTGAGACAAAGCCAGAGCCCCCGGGCCCCTGTGTCTGACACCCCCGCCCCTCTGAGGTTCCTGATGGAATTGGGGGTGCTCAGCCCCACTCGCCCCTCGACTGAGTGGAGTCGACAGGGCATGGCACTGTGCGCCATGGCCGGGCCGCTCTGGCTGCTGGGACCTCCACGACCCGCGGGGACCAGCCACCCAAACCCCCCCCCCCCCCCCCCCCCCCCCCCCCGTGCTGCTCTGTTTACCAGGGTTGGGGCCTGCAGAGGGCGGACTTCCTGGAAGTGGGAGTTTTTGCTTAGAACTCAAGCCAAGGGGGGTGGGGGAGGGTCCACGATACAAGGATAAAAGCTTAAGCTTAGTTGGCAGCCAGAGGGGAAGGTGAAAACCTGTTGGCAAAGCCCAGGGCACTGGTGTGCAGACTCCTGGCAGCTCGGTCTGCAGGAAGAGGGGCACATCCCCCGCGTTCAGGGTGGGGTCCACCGCCTCCCGCTCTGCCTGGGACTCCTGGGACTTGGTACCTATATTTTCGCAGGAATTTTAGGAGCGCCCGTTCACTTTGACGTAGGCCTCTCAGTCAGGGGTTTGCACCTGTCTCTGCCTTTTCTCAAGGAGAAATAAATTAAGATTTATTTATTTACACATACAAGAGCTGGGGATCAGGCCAGAGGCGTGGGGGGGTGAGAAGATTTACCAGAGACAGAGTGGGGAACAGAACAGGTGAATCCACTGAAATTCACTGCTGAGGGCGCAGCCGGGAGACAGGAGAGGTCCGCTGCGCCATGTGGGTCACCTCCCTGGCTGTGGATTGAACTCAGGCCGCAGTGGCTGGTGATAGCTCAATAGCTCTGAGACTTAAGCCCTGCACCACCAGGGAGGCCCACAAGCGGCTACTTTCAGATGGAAACTTAAAGTGCTTTTTCTCAATTGCCCCCACCTGCCCATCAGTCAGGCTCATTAAGGTAGCAATAGGTTCTAGGGGCCAGAGGCTGCTGCAGGTTTTGGGGGGGGGTCCCTTGATGGCCAGTTTATCTCCAGGTCCCAGGGCTTAAGGGAGGGTGGACTGTGGCAGGCACAGTGGGAGGGAGGGAGCTTAGAGGGAGGGGCGGGCCCTGCCACCCGAGGTCAGAGGGGCACGCTCATGCCTCTCCCACCCTCCCTCCTGCAGCCAAGTACCCGGCCATCAAGGCGCTGATGCGGCCCGACCCGCGGCTCAAGTGGACAGTGCTGGGGCTGGTGCTGGCGCAGCTGGCTGCCTGCTGGCTGGTGCGGGGCCTGACCTGGCGCTGGCTGCTCTTCTGGGCCTACGCCTTTGGGGGCTGCGTGAACCACTCGCTGACGCTGGCCATCCACGACATCTCCCACAACACGGCCTTCGGCACAGGCCGCGCGGCGCACAACCGCTGGTTCGCCGTCTTCGCCAACCTGCCGGTGGGTGTGCCCTACGCCGCCTCCTTCAAGAAGTACCACGTGGACCACCACCGCTACCTGGGCGGCGACGGGCTGGACGTGGACGTGCCCACGCGCCTGGAGGGCTGGCTCTTCTGCACGCCGGCGCGCAAGCTGCTCTGGCTGGTCCTGCAGCCCTTCTTCTACTCGCTGCGGCCGCTCTGCGTGAACCCCAAGGCCCTGACCCGCATGGAGGTGCTCAACGCCCTGGTGCAGCTGGCCGCCGACGCCGCCATCTTCGCCCTCTGGGGGATCAAGCCCGTGGTCTACCTGCTGGCCAGCTCCCTGCTGGGCCTGGGCCTGCACCCCATCTCGGGCCATTTCGTGGCCGAGCACTACATGTTCCTCAAGGGCCACGAGACCTACTCCTACTACGGGCCCCTCAACTGGATCACCTTCAACGTGGGCTACCACATGGAGCACCACGACTTCCCCAGCATCCCGGGCTGCAACCTGCCCCTGGTAGGTGGCCGGCCGCAGGCAGCCCTGGCCCAGGGAGGGGCTCCTTGACCTCACTGGCCGGCCACGTTCTCGGGGGTGGTCCCTCGGGAAAGGCAGGCCGCCTGGGCCAGATGCGCACTGGCTGGAGGAGGGGGAGTTGGAGGGGGGCTGAGAGGCATGTGCTGTGTGCCCTTGGGTGGCCACTGCCCTCTCTGCTTCCACTCCTCCTCTGCAGCGGAGGCGCACGGGGTGTGAGGCCCCCTCCCTTGGCTGGCGCCCGCCCAGCCCTGCTTACTCCTGCCGCTGCGCTGCCCTGTGACCCTCCACGGTCACCTCACGGCACAGACAGCAGGGCGGGCCTTTCCCTTGGGACCCAGGGGCTCGGCCTGCGTGGAAGCTCCCGGGCCGGCCCTCTGCCTTGGAAGAATCGGAGAGTTTATGCGGGAGAAAGGGGGGGATAGGAGGGGAGCCGGAGGGAGGTGGAGGGGGAAGTGTCACTGGTGCCTCTCGCCACAGAGCTGGCTGTCCCATGACCCTCGGCCTGGTGCCTGGCGAGAGGGAGGCTTGTGAGGGCTTGGGGGAGGGACGGAGGAGGGGACAGGGAGCTGGTGTGAGGCGGGGAAGCGGGGAGGAAAGGGAGGAAAGTTGGAGGGAGGACGGTGGCAGGATGGCGGGATCAAGCCCGTGGGCTACCTGCTGGCCAGCGCCCTGCTGGGCCTGGGCCTGCACCCCATCTTGGCTCCAGGGAGAGGGCGAGCACAAGCAGCGGCGCGGGCCGGTGAGATGGGCTGAGGTGGCCCGAGGCACGGGCGAGGATGCGCGTGGGAGGCCCTGCGTGTGCGCCCGCGTGCGCCCGCTGAGGCTGTGTGTGAGCACTGGGCCGGGCCAGCAGGGCCTGGAGTCTGCCCCGGCCGTGCAGCCCTCTGCGCCCCCTGTGCGGGCACCATCTCACAGAAGCTGGACGCAAGCCCTGCTCCTCCCAAGCAGTCATGGGCTCCCTGCTGGTGCCCGGCCAGCCTCTTGAGTCCCCAAGTCCCTGTCTCGGTTATAAGCAGGCCTGGGGCACTGGTGCCTCTTGGGGGAGGGGGTGGAGGGGATTGGTGAGAGGCTGGGTTGGTGCCATGGCAGGTGCTGAGGCTGGGAGCACTTCCTGGAGGTGCCGAGGGCACTGCGGGTGGAGGGGCCGTGGGGCTGCAGATGAGGGTGCTGAGGGTGGGAGGGGGAGCGGTGAGGGTGGGGCAAGGCCATGGGCCCAGCCCTGGCTTGGCAGGGCTCTAGCAGGACGAGTGAGAGCCAGCTCCCAGAGGCTTCTGAGCAGAGGCTGCAGGCCGGGCTTCTGGGTGGGGTGGGCAGGGTGGCTTTTGAGTCCTTGCCTCCGCTGGGTCAGAGCCTGCAGCGGCCTCCTCCCTGGGGCCTCGGGCTCCGTGTGGGCCAACCGCCCTCTGCCTTCGGGCCACACTGGCCTCCCCCCTGGCCTCGTGGGATATGGGTCTTCCCTGGGGGGGGTGACTGGGTGTGTGCGTGTGTGCGCACATGCTCAGGCATGCCTGTGTGCACACTTACTAGTGCATGTGTGCATTCTCACACAAGAGCATGCGTACCCACCTATGCACATGCTCACACCTGCTTGCATTTACGTGACACTCATGTTTGCAGTGCACATGCATGCACACTCTCCTGTATACTGAATGCGCATGTTGGTGCAACTGTGCATGTGTGTGGGCATGTGAGCACATGCACACCTGTGGCAGGAGTGTGTGCAGGGCGTGGCTTGTGACCTGGCCCCCTCTCGGCAGGTGCGGAAGATTGCGCCCGAGTACTACGACCACCTGCCGCAGCACCACTCGTGGGTGAAGGTGCTCTGGGACTTCGTGTTTGAGGACTCCCTGGGGCCCTATGCGAGGGTGAAGCGTGTGTGCAAGCTGGCCGAGGACCGCCTGTGAGCGCCCGCTGGTGCATGTGGATGTGGATGAACCCTGCAGCGCCCTGGCCACACTTCCTGCGTGGAGCTGGCTATGCCTGTGCCCCCACGGCCTGGGGCCTGGACCAGTTTGGCTGCATTCAGTTCCTGTAGCCTGTATTGCTGCTCTTGTCCCCAGAGCCCTGGGGACTGGCCTGGAGGCTGTGGACACAAAGGTCTAGAGCAGCTCCCAGCTTGCTGATGCCCATAGGCCAGACCCTTTCTGGGCCCCACCCGTGAGGCCTGGCCCTGCCTGGGTGCTGCCCTTTGGGCTCATTTCGCTGGTGTCTTGCCCTCAATTAAATTCAGCGTGTATTTCACACCCATGAATTGTCCTCCAGGAGGTGGTCTTGGCACCAGTCTGGGCCTCTGAGGACAAGGTCCAACTGGCTCCGGCAGGGTGTGTCGGAGACCTTTGTGCCCCCAAATCCCACCTGCTCCCCACCCTTCGGGGCTGCAGTTGCTTGCACACTGTCTATGCAGCGTTCCTGAGGGCCCTGCTGTGGGTGCCCAGTGCTGCGGGTGTGGGCAGCAGGAGGCCCTGCCTGTCCTCGAGGCACATGTGGCACCACAGCCCCCCATAAACAGCCTTGGGAGCCCGTCCCCGCTCTCCATCCGCCGAGCCCTGCAGGCAGTCTCCCCTTGGCGGAGTCCATGCCCTCCCAGCTCCACCTTGACCCCTCACCTGCAGAGCCTCCCCTGATCCGAGGGTCCCGGCTTGACACAGGGAGGGGTCTGTCCACCCCGTCCCCCAGCTCAGACGTGGCACTTGAGGTGATTCTCGCAGGATAGGACACAGGTATGCAGAGGCAGGAGCATGGGCGCAGCTTGAGGGTGCAGGCCGGGGCGTAGGGTCGCTGTGAGCCGGGAGGCGGCCCTGCCCTGCTGCGGTGGAGGCTGAGGGCACCGCTGGAACCTGGGGAGGCACTGCATTGGGGAGGGGGAGTCCTGGTCTCCCAGGGATGAGGCCCCAGGGCTGGGTATGGCAGGGCCTCTCAGCTGACCCAGGAGAGGTACTTTGCACCCCCGCCCACCCCACCCCCCTAACCCCAGGTGCTCAGCTGGGACTTCCTGCTGGGGATGGGAGTGGCTTCCCATGGTGCCAGGCACCCAGCTCTCCTGTGGCCTGAACTCCTGGGATGCCAGGGGAGGGGCCTTTGTTGTGCAAGGGAAGCTCTGCTCTACCCAAGCACCATGAGCCTGGCAGCTGCTCCTCTGAGCACCAGCTGCCCAGGCCGAGGGGAGCCCCTGCTTTCAGCTGCTGGCCTCCGGAGCCCCGTGTCTGCCGGTGGCCCATCTGCAGGGGCCTGTACAGGCCCCACCCATGAGCTGGAGGGCGCCTGGGGCAGGGCTGGTGGCGCTTGGCTAGGGAAGCCAGCTCCCCACTCCCAGCCGAGACCAGGGTCCAAGTGCAAAGGGCGGAGGAGGGGCCGCACTCACAGATGGAGACTGTGGAGCCCGCAAGAGCCGCTCCAGGCCTGGCAAGCTGCCCCGGTGGCTGCGCTCCGGCCGCTCACCAGCTGTGGGGCAGGGCCGCCCTCCTGCCCTCGGGTTGTTGGGGGTACTCAGTGGGATGATGTCTGTCCTGAGCCTGGCTAGAAAACGGTCACCCTCCTGTGGCCGTCGCAGGCGGCTGGGGCTGGGCGACCGCTGTGCCTGGTGGCTGTGGGGGGACAAGGCTTCAGGCCTCCCCGGCTGGGGTCGCATCCTGGGGCAGCAGGAGCTGCGGCGAGAGCCGGACACGTCTGGGTGCACGTGCATGGCCTGAGACGTGCCGGGGCTGCCTCTGGACACGCAGTCGGCGGCCCGGCTGCCGCGGGGGTGGGCCCCGAGCTCCTCCCGGAGCTTCAGGGGCAACTGTGGGCCACCCTGGGTTCCCCCATCTGTGCACGGCTGACCGGGCACGTCCTCCCGCCCTGCGGTCAGAACACACCCGGACCCTCTGATGTTCGGGCTTGGGCTGCCGCGGGGCCATCTCCCTGGGGAGGGCTGTCTCGCAGGTCCGGAGGCCCCCCGGCACCCCAGAAAGCTGAGTGGTAGGTGTGCCTCCCACCCTCCCGCGTCTGAATCCAGCGCAGCCGCCAACCGTCTTGCTCCCACGTTTCCGTCACCCTGTCACAGCCCCTTCCCCGAAAAGGGGCCTCCCCAGCACGTGCGCGCGCGAGCAAGAGGCGAGCCGGGCGTGGACAGTGACCGTTTATTACCACGTGGACACAGACACCGGGCGGACGGCCGTCCCCGCCGACGCCGGCACTGGCAGCCGGGCGCCGGCAGCGCCACCTAGGAGAGAACCTGGACACCATCTACTGGAGCGTGACTTGGGGTGTCTTCTCTAGAAACCGAAAGAAATGTACACTTAAATAAGCAAATATAAAATTCAAAAAAAGGCGAGGAGACCTGGTGTTTTGTGTCAGGTAGAATCTAAAAAAATTCCAGGAATTGAACTTTTTTCCTCATGTTAACATTTTCTCACAGGTGAAGACTTTAAGCGAAGCGCGTCCCAGCCTCCTGCGCGGGCGGCGGGGCTCCTGGCCGTGCTGCTGGGGCCGCCGGCTCTAGGAGGTGCTGATCCCACTCAGCTCCTGCCGGATGGCTGCGGACAGATGAGGAGGCTCAGCCGCGCCCCGGCGTCCCCGCCCCAATGGGGCGCCCCCGCGTCCCGTCCCCAGAGCCCCTGGGGGTTTCGCGGCCCTGCGCGTGCTGGGGTGATGACAGCCCATGGGGCCCCCTCACTGTTTCCCAAGCACAGGTTGGGGGCGCCGGGCCTCAGAGCTGGGAGGGGCCCATGGGCACCGGGCACCCCGGACAGGTGGGCGTCCTGGGTGGCTCGTAGGATGAGGGACCTCTCTGACAGAGGGCAGAGGCCACCCCCACCAGGGTGGGAAGCCCCTGCTTCCAGGAGGGGGTTCCTCCCACCTGAGTCTCTCCCCCTCCAGGCAAGGCCTCTCTGGCTCTTTGCTCCAGCTTCCGCCTGTCCCCATCCAAGTTTGGGCCTTTCCCCAGAGTCCAAGGCCGCAAGCAAGAGCCAAGGGCTGGGCGACGCCAGGTTACAAGAGGGATGGTCCCCGCAGCTGCAGTGCCCTGCCAGGTGCCAGGAGGTCCACTGGGGTGGCACCAGGCAGATGGAGCCTCCTCTGCCCCCCCTCCAGCCTGCTCCCCTTCAGGCAGGCTGGCCCCCCACCAGCTCTCGCCCTGGGGCCACCGGGCAGCCCCTGGGGCACCCAGCCATAAAGGGAATTAACGGCTGGCCTCTGTCTCCCGGCTGGCCTCTGTCTCCCCGTGGCTCCCTGTTCTCCACTCATTAACTCCTTATCTGCCCCGCCAGGCCTGCAGGGGGACCAACAAACAGGAACTGAGCGCCTGGCCCGGACAAGGCGGGGTGTGGCGGTCACCCAGCTGGGCAGGGCTCCGGGTCTGCAGGGCCACGGGCTGGCTCCCACCCAGTCCTCTCCTCTGGCTCCAAGTCCAGGCAGCCTCTGCCTTCAGCACCACCCCATTTAGTTCTGGGGATCCCCTCTTGCCAGGTCATCTGAAGCCCTGGGGGCCAGGCCCCCAGCAGGTGTGGGACCTCTGTGGTCGGGGGAAGGAGGCGGGGCCGCAGGCTGCCCCGGCCACGCCCCCCGGCCCAACTGTTCTCGCCTGGCTCCAGATCTGAGCCTGCCAGATCAAAGGTTCGTGAGAACCAGGAGAGGATGTGATTCACGGGCCACGGCCCAGCGGCTCTTCCGGGGCCAGAGCCGCGGGGTCAGGCAGGCTTAGGTTCTCCTAAGTCCCTGGAAGTCCTCAGTTGTTTGTATAACCCCAAACCCAGTGACTGGAGGTGGCAGAACCAGTGAAATGCCCCGAAGCCAACAGGTTAAGCAGAGCCCAGATCTTTCCAGCTGTTTGGGTGGGTCTGAGCTGGGGATGCAGCTCAGATGCCATCAATCCCCTCCCCATGGCAGCTGCGGCCAACCGGGAGAAGGTCCTGGGACTGTGGTGGGCCTCAGTGAGGTGCCAGCCTCAGAGAGGTGCTGGTGGAGCCTCCCCCTCATTCAACGAGAGGTGGCTGACGAGGCGCGTGGGCGCCAAGAGGAAGGAGGAGATCTCCTGGTAGCACACAGCGCCTCCCAGGGCTCGGCTTCCTGGCAACCTCCTGCTCTAGGGGCACAGCCGGATGACGGGCAGCCCCGAGTTGGGGCGCAGCCCCTGGCACTCACCGTCGATGATCTCCTCCTTCACCTTGTGGAGCTCCCGGACCACTTCTTCCAGGATCTCCTGTTGGGAGCAGAGCAGAGGCGCGGGCAGCAGGGACAGGAGTGTGGCCTTGGGGGGGGGAGGCGGCATGGCCCCAGGGGCACCCAGGCCTCCCACCAGAGCCACCACCCTGGCCCTTCCAGTGCTGGGGGTGGGAGGGTGTGTGGGTGGAGCCACCGAAGGGGAAGCTGGGGGCTGGTGTCCTGAGGGCTGGTGCGCTCCCTGTGCTGCTAGGAAGGCCCGGGCCAGGTTACGTGGGCACCCCTTCCTCCACTGCAGGCTCCCCCAGCCTGCAGCCTCGGGGCCACGCCTGCCAGCCCAGCCGCAGCCTCTGGATCTGTCACGCTGCTCAGGACACACTCACCTGTTTCATCCTGTCCAGATCGAAGGCGTCCAGGGCCACGTCGTTCACACTCCCTGCTGGCTTCATCCTGGGGAAAGGAGGGCGGCAGGGAGTGGTCAGGCCGGTGGGGCCAGGCAGGCGTCCTCTCACCAGGGTGCCGAGCTGGGAAGCCGGGGCTCGGGACCCACACTGCCTTTCCTGTCGAGAGCTAATGCTTCCTGCTCTGACCTCGGGTCCCCCTTCAGTCACGCGAAAAGGAGCTAGTGCCCAGTCTCCCTCCCAGGAAGGCCTTGTGGGTGGACACTGACCATATTCCCAGCCCAAGAGCCAGGACTTGGGGTCCAAAACCCCCTGCTTTCTTGTTTGCAAGGAACCCAGATGCTATATCCCCTGTTAAGAAAACCGTAGGGGCCATGGCGTGGGGGTGCGTGGGCTCGGCTAGTGTGGGGAGACTGGTGAAGATGGCAGAGTGGCACAGCAAGCACTTGTCCTAAGGGCACCAGCTCCCGACACACCGTGTCGCCAGGCTGCTGGCCGGCGCTGGTGGCTGGTGGCGACTTCTCAATAAACAGCCTGGGATGTGATCTGCTCTTTTGAGGCAAAGGTTTTGGTTTTGTGTGCTGTACTTTAGAGAACTAGGGTGAGCTGGCTTACTCTGTGCCATCTCCAGCACATCAGCCTCCGGGACATGTTGCCCAAGGGCCATCTACCCGTTTAAGGCAGGATCCCCACTGGAGGGCGCCGGGCCTGTTCCTCTGGGCCTGTGCGGAGGGAGGGCTGCAGGGGTGGGGTGTGGTGCTGGACACCCATGGGGTGGTAGTGACGCTGGGTCAGTGCGCCGCGACGTCTGTGACACCAAGGGCCGGGACTCCGGGGTGGAGGACAGGTCTGGGGCCAGATGTGGGGGGCGGGGGGCGGTGGTCAATGGGCCCAACAACTCAGGGCAGCTCTTCCCCAGGACGCCCCACACCGGGGTTCCCACTCGAAGGAAGTGGACCATCCACAGGGGATGGGTAAAGCTGGGGGGTCCACACCTGGCCAAGCTACTTGGCCGTGTGCATGGAGGACATGCCGCCCGCCGTGCCGGCTGTGGGCTGGGATGAGCCCGAGGTCCATGCGTGGAGGGAGACAAGACTCGTGGAACCGAAGGAAAACCCAGTCACAGAAACAGAGTGGAGGGGGGTTGGGTGGGGGAGGTCAAAGGGCTCAGGCCTCCAGTTAGCGGGAGGGTAAGGTCTGGACTGGCTGCCCGGCTGCGGACTGGAGCTGACAAAACCGCTTCGGATGCTGGAAAGTAGTTTTAAGAGAGCGGATCTTGGGGCCCCACCGCACATCCAAAAAAGGGGGCCTGGTGAGGTGCGGAGGTGCTAACTAATCTAATGAGGTCACTGTTTGTCATACAGATGCACGCGTGCGCGTGGCCGCCGTGCGCCTCAGGCCCGCAGCTCCCGTTGTAGGTTCAGTGTTTTAGCGAAGGTGAAAGGAGCCCCCGGGCGCTGAACAAAGAAAGCTGCGGTCGCGCAGGGCACACATGCGGATTAAGGAAAAGAAAAAGGAAACGTCCCGCGCCCTTCCTGGTAGAGCTTGAGAACGGAGCCAAGTGTGGAACTGAAACGGTTAAATTGTTTCGGGCCCCGGGGTGGCAGGCTCAGCCTGAGCCCCAGCATCGCAGGGTCTGGTCCCTGTTCCGGCAGCACCTGTCCCGGTCACCTGGGCGGACCGCCCTCCTGTCTGGGCCCCGTCTCCTGTCTGCACAGTTCACTGTTCTGGCTGGGGGCAAGGCATGCGGCTAGGGGCCGCGCTCGGCCCTGGGGGTATCAGTCCCGGGGCAGTGCCCCATGAGGCACCTGCCACGCAGCCAGGCCCAGGCTCCAGTGGGAGCTGCCCGGCCATGGCTCCCAGCCCGAGTGTGGGGCTGCTCTGAGGGGCCCCTGGTGCTCACAGCGCCCCGACTAGGCCTGCACGTGCAGAAAGCCAGGCCGGACCATGCCAGCTCCGCTGAACTCGCCTTCTGCACGGGGCCCGTGTCCTGTTCCTTCAGCTTGCCAGCGGGTGGTGGGTGCAGAGCCACGAGCTGGCCCCACGACCCCCACCTGCAAGCTCCTGCTCAGCCAGGCCAACTTGAAAGCCAGCCGGCTCCGGGCTGTCCAGCAGGTGGCCCCCGGCCTGCTCCGTGCGCCTCAGGCGTGGCTCTTCTCACAGAGCAACAATACTGAGCTGGTGGGGATGTACAGGACCCTGCCTGGAGGGACCCGCTAACCACAGGCCCAAGACGCCTCATGTCCCCGTTCACCCACACCTGTCCTGGCATCCTGGCCCCTGCCAGCCAGAGCTCCCAGCTTGTCACCTCTGCTCTCACCCGCCACCTGCTCGGGATAAGGTTGTTTCTCTTCAGTGTGAGGCAGGCAGTGGCGATTCCTTGGCACCAGTTCTAAAGTCCTGCAGACCTGGGCTCTGGGCCTCTGCTTTCTGGGCAACCTGCTTTAAATATTCTATCCTGTGACTGCTCCAGCTTTGGGTTGGGAAACACGGTCACACCCCGGCGTGTCTGTGCGGTCTGTGGGAGGAGTGGGGGCAGGTGCCAGGCCAGCCAAGGGAAGTGGCATGGCCAACAGGCACTTATGGTGTCCACAGCTGTCCACACATCTGCCCCACAAGGGAGGGGTCAGCCAACCTCTTGAACAGGCAGAGTGGGTGAAGGCTGAGGGGTCACCTGCTTGCTTGGGGTTCCTGGGGCCAAGCGCAGAGCCTGGGTCTCAGCTGCACCCCCTGCCGGCCTCCAAGCCTTAGTCCTCCCTCTGTACACCCCCCACGACCCCCAGCCCCACCTCCCAGGTCCGGAAGGAGAAGACATCACCCTTCCCCAGAGCCAGCTGTTAGATGACAGGACACGACACGGGGCAGGTGTTAGTCACGGCGGGGACAGAGGAGGCCCACAGGCCAGGGTTGTTCGGTACCTAGAATGAGGCTGCGACTGAAGGGGGCTCTTAGCTTCGGGGCTCTTGGCCACAGACGGGGTTCTAGGGCAATGGAATGAAACAGACATGTGAATCGGAGCGGGTGCTGCCTTGGCCCGCAGGATGGTACCAGCTCCCCGGGCAGCTCACCTGGACAGTAATGAGGACACCGGCTTCTCCACCGAGTTGCTCCGCTCCCAGGGCTTCCGGCCGGCCTCTGTCAAGTCACCACGTGGATGCAGACTCAGAGCCCAGAGGACTGACTCAGTGCCACCCCAGACCCGAGACACCCCTGGTGGGCAGCCCTCAGTGGCTGGGCCGGCCGTCGGAGGGTCAGCCTGGGCAGAGGGGCAGCCCAGGGGCTTGTGCCCGTCCTGTGGCCCAGGCAGCCCTTGCAGCTTGGAGGTGGCACTGCTGTCACCAGCCCCTCCAGCTCCCAGCCCCTGCTCCAGACACAGGCCCTCCCCCCACCGACCGCGTCGGTCTGGATCAGTGGCTTGAGTCCTCTCACCATGTTGGGTAACCTCTTGGGTCTGCATTTGCTTTCAGGGGCTGGGCCCCTGTGGCCCCAAGGGCACTCGCTGCCCACTAGCCCCTTGATCTCCCCCTGACCCTCCACTGCCCGCTCCCATTCTGGCCTCAAGGGCTGGTACAGCTTTCCTTTCTTAGTGGCTTTAAATCCAGAGTGTGGCTGGACTGAACCTCATCCGCTGACTCTGCGGGGTGAACAGAGAGGCAGGAGCTGAGCCCATACGGGGTCACCCAGAGGCTCTGAGCGGGTCTTCTAAAGGCAGGCCCTGTCCCTGCCCCCACCCCCGTCCCTGTCCAAGGGGCCCAGGCAGCAGGCACATGGCCCTGAACCATACTGAGCTCCAACTTCCTCAGCTGGGAAAACACTTCAGTCACCCTTTCTCCCCAAACCCACGGCGGCCCTGGAGGAGAGGACAGTCACCCAGTGAGGCAGACAGGCCAGAGAGCACGGCGCAGGTGGTGCGGGGGCGGGGCACGCCTGGGAGGCCCTGGCAGCTGGCAGAGGATGGGGCGACCTAATTTCCCCTGCCTCCCCTCGCCTTGCTCGTGAGCACAGGCAAACACGTGTTTGCTAAGTGACTGAGTGACCAACCCCAGCGTCTCCTTTCCACTGGGCAGCCTCAGGTGCTCTTCTAGTCACATCTCAAGCCCCAGGGTGGGGGAAGGGAGGACTGGCTTCTGGAGCAAGGCAGGGTGACTGACCACAGGGGGCATTTCCCAGGGAGGCTGAAGCCACATCATGCTCAAGTCACACTCTGGAGCTCTGGCCCTGGAGGCTGTAGGGGGCTCCTGCGCTGGTGTGGGAAGAGGATCGCATGGGTGGTCTGGCTCCCGGGTCAGTGGGCCATGTAGGGCAGCACAGGGCCTGGCCCTGGGCTTGGAGTGGAGGCGCCTTCAGGAGGCTGCACACGCTCGGGAGCAGCCGCTTCTGCAGTGGTGGCACCTCGCCGCCACCGCCCTGCCCCTGCCCTCGCTGGAGCCTGGCCTGCTCCGGGCGCTCACCTGAGGGGTTGGGAGGCTGGCTGGCTGCGCGGCTCCCCGGGCATGGAGAGGTGCTCGGCTCTTCCTGAAACGGACAAGAGAGGCGTGAGTGGGTGGAGGGGCAGCCCTGGGACCAGGCCACCCAGAAGAGCTCTTCTGGCGGACACGCCTTGCTTTCCCGATCGGTAAAATAGTGAATGTTATAAACAGATCCCAAGTCAGGGCCATGGACAGTGGGGGGTGAGGCCTCGGGGGGCGGGGGCTCTGCCAGGCAGGACCACTGCCCTCAGGCCCCAACGCCCCACCCTGCCCCACCTACCTCCTGGATGACTTCTCTTGACCATGGCACAAGGGGCCTGACGCTGGGGTGTCCACTGACCCCTCTGTAGCCCAGAGGACCCACCTGAGGGAGCCCTCTCTCCAAGCCTGGAGCGGGCCTTGCTGTACGAGTGGGCTGGCTGCTTGGCCGGGCCCTGAGGGGGCCAAAGCTGCCACGGCCCGCCTACATGACTGGGTGTGGAGGACCCCCATGGGGTCCCCCTTCCACGGTGAGAAGGCAGGGCTGAGGATTTGCTTTGAGGTTCTCTCTCCAGCCACCACAAGTCCATTGATGCTGCCGGCGGATAAGCTCCAGGACCTCGCTTAGTCCTCACCACCCCTGGTGGGGAAGTTGCCTGGCAGCTTGCAGGAGGCAGGTGCAAGGCAGTGTCCGGCCCTGCCAGCCCCCTCGCCCCAGCACCTCTCACCCCACCTGTGGGCATACACCCTTCTCCAGCTGGCCCACCTTCCAAGCCCCCCGCGCTCTGCTAGGTCCCTGCCTGCACAATCCAGCAGCTTCTACAGCTCAGGGCAGACGCCACCTCTTGGGGGGCACTAGGCAGGTGTGGCCTCTCGGAGCCCCTGGCACACCTACTTACGCCTTCCTCACTCTGTCTGCTGTGCCCTCTCAAGGACACACCCCATCCATCTCTGCCCCTCTGCAGGCACAGGGCGAGGTCCCAGAGCCAGCAAATGCACCTCAGCCCTGCCCACAGAGCACAGAGAGGTGGCCAGTGCCTCAGCCGCAATGGCGCTGACATCTTCTGCTCTCTGCTCCCACCTGGCCCACTTGGGCCGGGGCTCTCGCACCCCTGCAATACCGCCAGGGCCGGGCTCCACGCTCCCAGCAGGAGGTGCCTGAGAGCCATAGCTGGGTCAGGGCTGCTGACCACTTGATCCCACACCAAGAGCCAAAATGGCACCTACCAGGCCCCCCCAATATCTGTGGGATGCGTGAATGAATCTGGGACTCTGGCCAGAACACAAGAATGTGCTGGGTGTGGGTGGCCCCCTCGGGCTGCTGCATTGGGGAGCAGCTCTCAGCTTGTGCTGGGCCATGTCCTCAAGGCAGCTCTGTGAGCACCTCAGGAGCGATTAGTAGAAAGGCTCCCCTGGTGCACGGAAGCCTGCACCCCTGCCCGCACCTCGCACCTTGACGGGGGTTTCCTTGGGTGATGTACTTGGCCAACCTGGCCCTGGCTGTCGGACTGCACTGGGGCTCTGTCCTCCTTTTAAAGAGCCCTGTTTGGCCCCCAGGAGTTAACCCCAGCCTGTGCGCAGGGCACCCAGAGGCCACTGAGAACTACAAAGTGGAAAAGCCCTGGTGTGTCCCGTGCCCACGTGGCACTTGCCCGGGTGAGCAGAGCCTCCCGGCTCCCAACCTGGTGGGACCACAGCCAGAGCTAGCAGTGACAGGTGGACTGTCCAAAAGGACAGAAGAAGCGGGGGTCGCGGGCGAGAGGCCATCTTGCAGTGAAGGCGTCAAGGATGTGTCTCTTCTGCAAGTTCTGAGACAGAGACATTCTGACTGGGGTGGGGGTGCAGGCGGGCGTGAGGCCTCTGTTACCTGCGCTGCCCCCGGGGCTCTCTGCGGTGCAGAGGCTGGAGGGGTTCCTGGGTGACCACACCCTGTGAGGGCTGCCGAGCACCGGCCAGCGCATGTGACTAAGCAGAGTAGGAACTGAGGGCTGAAAGCGGGGCCGCCCAACCTGGAGGTGGGGACCCTCTCTTGCAGGAAGCAGCGTGCAGCGCTGCGGGCTGAGAGGGAGCTGGCAGGCTGAGGGGGCTGAGTGCAGGGGGGCCAGAGGAAGGGAAGGTCGGCTGGCCGGGCCAGACCAGGTCTGCCGACGGGCGCTGAGCACGCTGGGGCTGGACCTGCGTCTACCGAGCCTCAACCCGTATGCTTCATGGGCAGGTCTGAACGTAGCTGTCACAGCGTCTTGTGGGAAAAACTGATGCCGAGGAAACTGGCACCTAAGTGGGGCAGCAGCTCGGAGTCCAGCCAGGGACCGAGTCCTGGTCACCCCGCCATAGCTTGCCTGGGCACCTGCCGATGGGCGGCCAGGGAGCCTCTGAAAACAGGAGTCACTGGGAAAGCACGACGGCTGCCGTCCAGGAGTCCTTTCCTGCCGCAGCGCCCGCTCGCACCTCTCCTCCCGGGGCCTGTCCCTGCAGGCCCTCTGCGCCCCTCACTCTAGGTTGCCCTCAGGGTGCTCCTGGGCTACCCGGCCCCTCTGCCTCTCAGCTGACCCCCGGGACCTGTAAGTTCCAAACACACGGGGCCTTTGGACACTGGGGGGCATGGGCCTGGTGCCGGGGCATGGGGACAGAGGGAAGCCACCCTGTGCCCTTCTGCCCTGGCTAGGCCTCCGGTAAGGTCCCTGGTGAAGCCCCTACCACTTCCAAGTCCATGCCAGGTGTGCCTTAGCACCCCGAGGTCTGGCCAGGGCCCAAGAGCCGGGGCACGCGCGGGTGGGGCGGGTGCCCTGGAGGGGAGGGTGGGTGTGCTCACCGTTTGGCTTTCGTCTTCCTTTTTGTCAGCCGGCTTGTCTGTTTGGGAGGCTGCTTTTCTCCTAAGGAGGAAGGGGACAGGACCCAGCTCCTGAGGTTTCCATGCTGACCCAGACAGCGCCTCTGGATGGACATAGCCTGGTCCCCGGGGCCCTGACCCATATTATGTGCAGGAGGCAGCCTGTCCAAGCGCCCACTGGGCGTGACACTGCTAGGCTGGGTGCCCAGGCCTGCCCTCACCTCATGACCCTGGATATGAAACCAGCTGGCGCAGAAAGGGTACCCCGAGGACATTCTTCCTCTGTCCACAGCACTGAGGAGGAGTGAGTGGGTTTGCCCTCATTTCGGGTGCCTGGTGCCACATGTTCTCCCAGACTCAAGGCCTGGCCACGCGGGACATGGGGAGGTGCCCCTGGGCAGTGTCACAAGACAGGCGGCGGGAGCCAAGGGGCCCCACGGCCTGAAGCCCTCCCCACCTTGCACTCAGTCCCCAGCCGCCCTGCCCGCCCTGGGACACCCTGCAGGGCCTGGCAAACTGTGAGCAGCAGAGACTTCCAGGGCTGGCCCGATGCCCGGCTCCCTTCTCATGGCCCGGCACCGGCACCGGCTCCCTTCTCATGGCCCAGGACTCACCAGTCTTGTCAGTGGTCTCGCCTCTATCTGGCTGCCCCCCAAATCTGCACATGGGAACCCTTCACATCCCCCAAAACATGCCTTCAGGAGCTTCACTTTAGGGGCCACAGAGCACCCGGCTCTCAGAACTGGGTCAGCGGACACCGGGTGGCACCACCGCCTCCAGGCCGGGCTCCTGCATTGTCCGCGCCTCCGACGGGCAGCTGTCCTGAGCCTGGGCTCAGCCTCCAACAGGGCCATTTGCCCTGCACTCGCTCCACGGCCATCACTGCACCCTCACGCCAAGAGTGAGGATGCCTCCCGCCCCTGGCCGCTCCTCACTGCCCTGCGGCCCCTCTGCCTGGGGACTCTGGCTCTGCCCAGAGCCTGGGCTCGGTTTTTCAGACCAGTGGCTGCTCGGGTGGGGGAGAGTCGAGCAAAATGTTGGTGCAAATTCTACGCCTCACAGCTCAGTAGCATCCTCTTTCGAGTCCCCTGGGAGAGGCCTGGCTGCAGGGAGGAGGCGGGAGCCTGTGAGTCCCAAGGGCCTTCTCCAGTCAACCCTGCCGCCTGGCACCTGGGGCTCAGCCCCACGGAGCTGTGCCGATTCTGCCTGTTCCCTGTGGGGTCCCAACACCCCCGCCAGTGTGAGGGTGTCTCCCTGCCTCCTGGCCTTTTCCCTGTTCTGGGAACTTGCTCTCCACTGGGTCTACACTGAGGCCCAGTGCTGTTGTCCACACATGGGTTGGACCTGGGCAAACTGCATTTTCTTTTCCAAAAATGTCTTCTATCCTCACACAAGGCCAGCTGTTGGGTTCAAATTAAAGTCAAGGTTGGTCTCCCTGGTGGAGGGTGGCACTGCTCGGTCTCCCACCCCCTCAGGTTTCAGGTGGGAGTGACGCAGCAACAGGCGTGGAAGGGGAGTGGGACCAGGCTCAGGTCTTGACCCTGACCTGACCCGGATGGAAGTGTCCTTCCATCTCTCAGGGCACCAGCCACTCTGTAAGTCCTTCCTGCACCCCCCGCGGTAGCCCCTTCTCACGCAGTCAGGGGGTGGGCTCTGGGACCACAGGATTTGTGCTGGCACTTCAGAGCGGGAACACCCTTTCCCTCTGGGCTGACCTCTGAAATGACCCCCGGCTTCTCTGCCCTGCACGGGGCTGGCCCATGATGCCTCGACAGGCAGAGGATGGGGCGCGTGAGGGCCCCTCTGGGCTAGGCCCTCTGTGAAGGGGGGCTTGACCAACACTTGCCCTGAGGGGCTGGGGACCTGGAGGCCAGGCCAGGGCTGTCCCCTGGTGGCTTCCGGACCTGTCGCAGGGGGTGGGGCCTCAACACCCACCTCTTGGCCAGCAGTTTGTTCATTTCTTCCATGAGGCCGCCTCCCCCGCCCCCACTGCTGGCCCGGTTGGCGTCGGACTTGGAGGTCCCGCTGGGACTGGAGCCTCCAGACGCATCTTCTGGCTGAGGGAAGGAGGCAGGGTTTTAGAGTTCGGGGTCTGCTGTCGGCGGCACCCGAGAGGCTGAAGGGGCCGTGCATGCACGTGTGTGTGCGTGTGCGCGTTGTGTGCGGGTGCACACGTGATCCCGATAATGGCAGTGCTGGAGGGGTCTGGGGGTCTAGTCCAACCTCCCGACCCCACCAATGACAAAGCCAGAGGCCTACAGGGAGTGGGACTGGCCGCCAAGGCTGTGGGACTTGGTGGGGAGGAGGCAGCTCTGCCCCGGGGTGCTGAGAACCACAGCCTCATGCAGCTGGTCCCGCAGCCAAGCCCCCAGCTCCTCCCGTGAACGAGGTGGCAAAGAAAGAGCCACAGGTGGCCGGTGTCTGCACTGAGAGCTCACTGAGCTGGTCAAGCAACAGGCCTTGGGCTGCTCTCCGGACAGGGCTGTTGCCTTGCCCACGAGTGAGGTCAGTGTGAGGCTCCGACTCTCTCCACCCAGCACTGCCCGCCTATGTCCTTCTGACGATGGCAGAGGTGGGCGAGGGCCTTCCTCGGCACCTGCAGTCAGGGGTGGCCTGAGCCCGCCGCTGCCCAGGCCACCAGCCCGAAACTCTTACCCGTTGGACGCGTCTCAGCTTGGCCCCAGCCAGGGCGGCGGCCAGGCCCGACACGGAGCTCTCGTCGTGGCTGCTGCCCTGGGCCCCTCCGGCCGGCAGTGGGGGTGGGGGAGGAGGGGTGGCCCCCGTGGGTGGAGGCGGGACAGGGGGTGGGGGCGGGGGTGGAGGCCCGCTACAGGAGAGGGGGGCGCTGGCTGTAGATGAGGGGTGGCCCGGCGGGAGGATGGGTCCTGTAACAACAAGGGCCACTGTCAGTCCCATAAGTCCCTGGGCAGAGGGCGAGGGCAGCTCAGGTCGCGGTTCTGGGAAGACCCCACAGTAAGTGCGTGGCCCTGCTCGGTCGCTCCTCTGCTGCCCCCTGGCACTCTGGGCCTGCTGGATAGTCCTTGAACCCGCTTTCTTGGCTCCGATCCTGGCCTCCAGCAGGAGGAAGCTCTCGCTGGCACAGATCGCACGCTTTGTCTGCCCTGTCTCTTCTGAGCGCCCTGCACCCCCCACCCCCAGGCATCTACAGATGCTGGCCCCCCGAGATGCAAGTGTGGCTGACCGGCCTCTGGGGCCTGAGGTGGGCAGCTCAGGTGGCAGGGCTGACCAGGACGTGTGTCAGGAGCCGTCCCTGGTGCCCCTTCCAACCACCTTCCTCCAGCACCGATGGAGCCCCCATGATGCCTGGCGCTGAGTCCAGTGTGGGGCAAAGGAGCACAGATGCTCTGGTCACGGGCTCAGGGCTGAGCGGGAAGCAGCCCCCAGACACCCAGGGGACGCACAGCTGTGGCTGCAGCCAGCCTGGCATGAGGGCCACTCCTCCGGGAAGTGAGTGGGGGCAGGGCAGGAGGGCAGGGGCTCTTTGTGGAGACGGGGAGGGCCTGAGAGGCCAGGAGGGCAATGCAGGGCGCCTGCGTCAGAGCCTCATTGGAAATGCAGAGCAGACCAGAGCCAGCTGCGGTCCATGCTCTCACCTATAGAACAGGACACTACTCACCTGCCTTCTTTGCAGGGCGTTTGGGAGGAAGACAAAGCTCTTCCTCGGCTGTAAAGCCTTGTTCTTACTCATGCACATGGCGGCTTCTCTCCCCTGCAGTGGGCTGGGCTCAGGGCCAGCTCTGCCACACCTCCTCCGGGATCCTCTTTGACGGGACCAGACCCCGTGGGCCTTTCTACCTGGTGCTCTGATGGGCCACACAGTGTGTGCTCTGGGATGACCTGCTTCGTCCTCCGTGGTCTCCCCACCGGGACACTGAGCTCCCTGGGGAGGTTCCGCTGTCTCCCAGCCCCGAGGGCAGGGCCTTGCCTCTGCGTATGCTGAGGGACTGGGGGCAGGGGCTGGCCCCAGCCGAGCTTCCCACTCTGCTCTGTCCTCTTCTCCCCTACTCTCACCTGCCATGGCCGTCCCGCTGAGAGGAGCCGGTCACCCAGCAGTGTTGTCAGGGGGCTTGCCATGCCCCCCGAGTGCAGCTGTGGGCCCCTGCCCCGGAGGGCACTCACCTGTGGCTGAGGTCCTTCTCTCGAGAGACTCCTGGCGCTGCTGCTCCATCACTTGTCTGCAAAAGCAACAAGAGCAGGGCTGGTCTGATGGAACAAGGGCACCTGTGTCCTGGCTCGGAGTTGGGTTTCACCCTCGCCCCGAGCGCACACGGTGTGCCCTGGGCTGCAAGCTCCTGCGTCCTGCCCTGGGCGCGCTGCCCCACTCAGCGGAGGTGGGGCACCAGACGGGGAGTACTGGCAGCCCTCTGGGCCTGGGTAGCCCTGCACAGGGAGCCCCTCAGGAAGGTTCAGTGACCATGGCCAGGTGACCAAGCCTTCCTGAGGCTGGACGGGCTCACCTGCTCAGGGCCTATGGCCCCAGGATCACCTGTACTCTGCCCCTAGCTTGTTCCCTGAACAACGCTCAGACGCTGCTGGTCACCAGGAGAGATGGACGCTGAGGCTGCAGATCCAGCCACTTGCTGGCCACCACCCAGAGGGCCCCTGGGCAGACTGCAGTCCCTTGTGGGAACTGGCAGCCTAGTTCCTGCGGCAGAGTGGCCTTGGGGTGCTCTCACAGACAGTTGAGTGAGGACACTGACCCAGGAACACACCTACAATATCTGGATTAAGATGCTGTAGCCAGAAGGGGGGCCATGAGGGCCAGGGACGCTGAGGTTTCAGTTGGTGGGGAGTGGCTCTCAGTGCCCCTGAAGGTGCCTGGGTCACAGCGAGTGCTGAGCCCCACTCTGGGCTTGGGGGTTTGGGGGAGACTGGGAGCAGCGTTAGCCCCTGGCAGGGCAGGGCAGGGTAGGGTGGCTCCGGGTCAGGGCCCAGAGCATTTGGCCAGTACTAGTTGCTAGTGCATGCTTTGTGAGGGGATGGACCGTCACCTGGGTGTCAGGAGTCACGGGTGCGGAGACGGCACATCCCCATGCATTTTATGGGGCAGATGGGACCCCCCCCCACCAAAGAGCTGTGTAGACGCAGAGAACTCTTAGGCCCCTGTCCTGGGGTTCCTGCTTTATTATCGCCGGCATGTCACTTCCCTCTCCTGGGCCTCAGCGTCTCTGTAAACAGTGTGCAACCTCCTGTTTCCTGGGGCTCCTGAAAGGATTACGCCTGATGCCCGCAATATAGTACAAGTGACCCTTTGGCACTGCAGGTGTTTGAGAAGCTCCCACCAGCTCACCGCGGGCCCACCGCCAGCCCGAGGGTGTGCAGTGGACGCCAGGCCCAGGGACACCTGCAGGTCACACACTGACCACCAGGGGCCGCTCTGGCTGCAGGCCTCCGACTTGCCTGTGGGCAAAACGGACCAGGACTCCCAAGGGTTCAGAGGATGCAGCCTGGGGGCTAACCGGCTCTGAGAGAGCGGCTGAGGGGTGTGTTTAGTGCCCACAGGCCCCATACATTTCTTCTTGGAGTCTGATGCCCCCCCAGGGTGGAGGTGACCTGGCAGAGGGCTGAGCTGGGCCAGGCTTGGCTGCCAGCCCTGGTTCCGCCGCCCACTTCTGGCTCCTTTGGGCAAGCTCTCCCTGGGGTTCAGCTGGCTCACTTGAGAGACAGAAGCAGCCACAGGGAGGGGAGTGTGAGGCCTGAAGGAGACAGTCTGTAAGACTCCCAGACAGTGGGGCGAGGCCCAGCGAGAGCCAGGGATGAAGAAGAGGGAGCCTCTCCTACCAGGTGCGCTCCCACATGGGCACATCCACCTTCGCTTGAGGTAAGAAGCGCCAGGATTACCGTGATGTTCTAGGGGGACACTGAGGCCGAGAGCCGTCACTTGCCCAAACGCACAGAGTACAGCCCTTGGCTCCCTCCCACAGTGAGAGGAGGCTGGAGAAGAGCGTCTCCCTGCCAGGTGAGGGTGGGGATCCATTGGCCCCCAGCTCAGGGTTCTCCTGGAAGGGTCCCCTTTTCTGATAAGCTGATGCAGATGGCCCTAGCAGGCCCATACACTCTGCGGCAGAGCCCTGGCCCTGCCACTCGCTCAGGACCACAGCGGTGGCCCTTCCGCCAGCCCCAACCCTCCCACAGAAGCCCCTCGGAGGGGTGGCTGCCTGCCAGACCCCGGAGCCGCCTCGATACACAGGGCCTTGCCGCTCAAACCTCAGCAGGGAGTTGAGTCCTCAGGGGCTGTGGCATCTGCCCAGGCATCCAGAGCCTCCCGAGGCTCGGGAGACTGGCGGGGACAAGAGGCGAGCAGGGGTGATGCCAAGGCTACTGGCCTCAGGGCTGGGCAGTGTGTGTGGCGGCGTGGCATCTCCAGCAGTGGGTCTGAACATGGCCACCTTACTGAGTCCTGGAAAGTCCTGATGCCCCAGAGGGGTGGAGCTGAGCCAAGTGGGCAGCACTCAGGACCCCGGCTCTCTGGCGGTAGCTGGCAGGCAGTGTGCTCTTCGGGAAACACCAGACCTGCACCCTCTCCCTGGTCCGTGCCAGTGAACTCGCTTGTCTCTTCTGGGCAAGCCTGTCCCCCTGAGGCCCCAGAGTGTCCCTGGAGTCCAGGCCTGGCTGTGTCCTACCTTCTCTGGATGTCCATCTCGTCGGGAGAGGGGCCATTCTGCACCTGCCGCTGGGTGGAGGGGCCTGTGGGCGAGAAGCACAGATGCAGGGGTCAGTAGAGAGGCTCCCAGACCCTGCCTCTGCTGGAGACAGCCGTACCCAAACTGCCTCCCTGGAATCCCCTCTTAGGACTCTTCCCTCAAAGCCAACATGTGGACCGTATTTTCCAGGTGGTTTGAAACCACCCCTTTGAGCTACTGACCCCTCTCCCGCCCACTCACTGACCTGCTCTTTCTACTTCCTCCTGGCCAGGGTCTCCTCAACCGCCTGACATCCCTCAACCTCCTGGCTCTGGCTTCCCCTTGCCCCCAATCTTGTTCTAACTAGTCAGGGTGGACGCAGTGTGCCAGGCCCTGCAGGCTGCCTTCCCTGCCTCCCGTGCGAGGTTGCCATCAGCGCCAGGGCCCCTGCCCTCTGTCCGTGCCTGCAGCTGGGGCCTGCAGTCGTGGGGGGAGGAGCCAGGGGCAGGTGAGTGGCAGTGGCTGTCACTGCACCCACCGTGTGCAGCCGGGCTGGGCCACATTTACAGGAAGACTCAGGCCTTTGCTCCAACCTAAGAAAGAGCTGATTGTTCCTTCCCTTTGCAGCTCAGGTGTCACTGGGGCGCCTCAGAGCCACAGTGAGCAAGACCAGCTGCTCTCCCCCCTTGCAGCCTCCAGAGAGGAGGTGTCAGCACTGCCCAGCACCCATAGGCACCCGCGCCTCCCACGGGCTCCCGGCGGCTGAGACACTAGCAGGCTTGGTCAGGGCACAGGCGACAGTAACAGAAGCTCAAGGCCAAAGAGATGACCCGGACTTTAGGGCGACCTCTGGTGGCCTCTGGCAGGCCCTCCTCCTGTCCTGGTGTGGTGTGGATGTCACCGCCTACCAAGGGACTGCGTCTTTTCTGCACGGAGGTCCCCAGCTACCCTCCTCCAGGCAGGGCATAATAGTGGCCTGCGCTCTCCCTGCTCAAAGCAGCTGCCATGCTTAGGGTCTCAAACTCCTGCGTCCCAGGCCTGTGGCTGCTCAGCTGGGACTGGGAAGCCTGGTGTCACCCCCTTCTTTGCTGTGGGGATGCTTTAGTTGGGGCTACAGGAGTATTCAGACAAGGGCAGGGGCCAGCTGCATGGGGGGAGGCCTGTTGGCCCTCAAGGAAAATGCCTCCTGTGGACCTGCCCCCCCAGGCCACCCCCACCGCTCTGCGGGCGGCACTGACACGCTGGTGCCTTCACAGATGGGGCCACCGTGAGTACCTGGCATGTGGCTGGCATGAAGTAAGCGCTGGTTCTCTTTCCCTATTCTAAACACATCTTTGTTTTTTAAAATATTGATCGTTTTCTGACAAATACCATGTGTGTTCAGGATGGATACCAAAACATTTAATAGTTGAATAAAGAAAACAGATATTCCCGATTAAAAAAAAAATCCGTGTACAGCAAAAGAGACAATAACAAAAACAAAGAGAAACCCCACCAACTGGGAGAACATTTTTGCACCCAACACTAATGATAAAGGACTGATCACAAAAATCTGCAAAGAGCTGATGAGACTCAGCAACAACAAAGAAAATAATCCAGTCAAAAAATGGGCAGAAGAGCTAAAAAGAAACTTCTCTGAAGAGGAAATGCAAATGGCCAACAGGCATATGAAAAAATGTTCAACATCACTTGTCATCAGGGAAATGCAAATCAAAACTACCATGAGATACCATCTCACACCAGTGAGAATGGCACATATTAAAAAAACTAGCAACAACAAATGTTGGCGAGGATGTGGAGAAAAAGGAACTCTCCTGCACTGCTGGTGGGAGTGCAAACTGGTCCAACCACTGTGGAAAGCTGTGTGGAGATTTCTGGACCTACTAAACATAGAGCTTCCATAGGATCCAGCAATTCCACTCCTAGGTATTTACCCAAAGGACACAGAAACATCAATTCCAAAGAACACCTGCACCCCTATGTTTATAGCAGCACTGTTTACAATAGCTAAGCTTTGGAATCAACCCAAATGCCCAAAAATAGATGACTGGATCAAGAAGATGTGGTACATATACACCATGGAATATTACTCAGCATTCAAAAAAGATAAACACATGCAATTTGCAGCAACATGGATGGCGCTGGAAGGGATCATGCTCAGCGAAATAAGCCAAAAAGAAAAAGAAAAATACCGGATGGTCTCACTCATAGCAGGAATCTAGAAAACTTAAATAAGGGACCAGGAAAATGAATAACTATAAGAAAGTGAAAATCAAAATCAACAAAAAACTATGAACCAGAGACACTTTTAGGGGGGCGGGGGTGGGAGGGGAGGGATTGGGGTCAGAATGGGGGGGCTGCAATTGTATGGGGAATATAACAATAAAATTTATTAAAAAAAAAAAAAATCCGTGGCGTGGGGCTCTCTGCTCCCCTACCTCGCTGAGCCCCACGTCCTAGGGCGCCCTCCCCTCCCGTGCAGGGGTGTGGGGCGGCCGCACTGTGCCGGCCTCTTTGTGACTTAACTGAGATGATCTGGGAGCTCACCCCTCGGGCACTCCCTCGCAGCGGTGAGGGGCGGGCGCGAGGCTGAGCAACTAACTCCGGGTCTCGGTGAGTGGCCCGCAGACCCAGGCTTCCAGCAAAGCCACTTGAGCCAACCCCGTGGTGTGGGGCTGAGACAGGGAAGGATGAAGGAGGCAGACTGGCAGGCGTCAGCAGAACCAGGGGCGCCGGGGCTGCAGCCCCCAGCCAGGGCTCCCAGGTTCGGCCTAGCATCCCTGACGCCTGACCCTGACCGGAAGGCTCTGTGCCTCCTGTCCCAGCCCACATTCGGGCTCCGGCATGTGCTGCCTGCGGCTGGCCTGGCCTCCCGGGTCGGGTCCCGGGTCAGCAGGATCAGCCTGCTGCCCCTGGCGGCTGCTGCTCCAGGCCCGTGCCGCAGCAGTCACGGGCAGGCCAGCCCCGTCCCCACTGCCCTGCCCTGGGCCACTCCCACCCCAGCGTCCCTCACGCTTGCTCCCAGTCTCCTCTTCCAGGCAGGGCCCCCGGCCCCCACGCCACGCCCACATGGCCTGGTCCCCAGTGCCTCCCGGGACACTGGCCCCACAGGGACTCGAGTCTTCCTCCCCAGGAGACCCGGGCTTCCCGGGCGAGGACATCCTCCTGCAGGCCCCCCGCCGCTCACGCCACGCTTTGCTGAATTGGGCCGGGAGGTTAGATGGAACTTGTGGTCACAGCCCGAGGGGATGACGCTCAGGTGAAAATAAAGCAGAAGGAGCCACGGAGCTGCCCCTTCACACTTGCTCAGAGTGGGAGCGTCCCGGCAGCTGCTCCAGGCAGGAAGTCACGGCTGACCCAGCCTGGGGGGGCGCCGCTGACCCCCACTTTATCACAGGACATTCTGCTTCAGACGCAACTTGGCCCCGCGAGGCGCACAAGGCCTGGCCCGAGTCCCTCCTCCCTTCCCGCCTGTGAAACAGGAGCCCGGCTCTTCATGCTGACACCCAGGGGCCCAGCGCTGCCGTGAGGAGTGAGGGTGCCGCGCAGCCCCGGGGGGCCAGGTCCCTGGCCGGCCACGGAGCCTTCCTTCTCCGCCAGTCGTCTGCCAGCCCTGCCCAGCACTGTCAAAAGCTCCCTGAGTCTGGGAGCTGATTTTTCGAGGGGCGGGGATCTGGCCTGAGCACTGGGTCCCCAGCTAAGACAGCTCTCACCAGTCTGACTCACCCAGCAAGTCTTGCCAAAGTCAACACACAGAACCCAGGGGGTCGTGGGCCCATGAGGACGCAAGGGACGTACGAGGAAGCTTGTCAGATGGCCCTTCGGTGCGGCAGTGCCAGTGCCCAGGCCCGAGTGCAGGTCCTTGAGGCTGGCTGGGGAGGGTGGGCCGGGGCCTGTGCCCCACAACCTCCGGGATGAGCAGAGAGCAGCACGCACTGACACCCGTCCAGGCTGGTCCCACTGAGCCCACCATACCGGGTACTTCCTGGGGGCACTGGCTCTTTACTCTCTCCCTGGGTCCAGCTTGAGACCAAGCACCATCGATACCCAGCCAGATGGCAGAGGGGCCTTTTATCCTTGGGGAGGGCACAGACGCTGCCAGGCTGGGGGAGAAAGTGCCCCGAGGGGACAGCCCGCCCGGCTCCCACCGGTGCTCGGGGGTCATGGTGCCGGCCTGGCAGTTCCCAGGGAGGTGGGCGCACAGGCACCGGCAGTGTCCAGGGTCGTCACAGGACAGGGCGCAGGATCCCAGTGCAGGGGGTCATCACGTCAGGAAGGCTGCCCTCTCTGCAGGAGGAGCAGGGCCACAGGGGAAGGCCCTGGGGTTTTGTGGGGGCTGGGAGAGCAGCAGAGGGGACAGGCCTGCCCCCTACCCCCCGTGGGAGCTGAGTGGTGGGGGCTCACAGCGTCCAGGTGCCCTTGCACCCCTGGGGCCTCTGTCAGTGGGGCGCCCCTGTCCTCCGGGATTCGTCACAGAGGGCTGGATGTGCCAGCAGAGCCAGGCAAACAGAACTGGTCTCCAGGGATTGACCCGTGTGGCTCCCTCCTTGCTCCCAGCACTTAACATCACTCTTAGCAAACACTCAGCACTCTAAGGAGAGGTATTTGTTGCTGCAGTGAGGCAGTGGGCCCCCCGCCAACTGTGTGAAGATCTCCCACACGCTGTTGAGCCTGAGCAGGTGCCGGTGCCGACAGCTTGGCCTTCAGCTGTGGGGGCGCCTGGAGAGTGCGCCAGGGAGGGGGGCCGGGGAAGAGAGGATGCCAGTCGGAGCTCCTGCCCTGCTACCTCCAGGGCCAGCCTGACGACACCATGCCCCTCGCTCACCCTCGCCCTCGTCCAGGGGGCCTTGGGATGGCCGTTTTATCTGTAAGAAAGGCCGGGTGTGAGACGCCGTCGGTCACATCACACTATCAGCGGGTCACTAGCAGCGAGGTGCTGGCCATGGCCGCAGGGCAAGGTGAGCACGGGCCGAGGGCCTTCCCGCTTCCGGAGGAAGGAAGGGTGGGGTGCAAACCGGAGGCCTGTCAGCAGCGGCTGTCTCTGCCCTGTGGGATTATTTCCCT